AGTCTGGAGGGTAGAAAATTTGAAGAGAACCCGTAAGAAAAATAAAAACAACATGGGAATAGCTAATCAGGTTGGCAGGGATGTTTTGGCTGCAAGGATTTTGAGGGCTGCAGAGAAAAATAGAATAAGATTAGAAAATGTTTGTCCATCCTGTGTGACAGATGTGGGAGAAGATGGAATCGTTTGTTACTTCTCTTTTTTCCCCTCTGCAAACAGCAGCAGCAATGAGCTGGCAGGCACAGTGAAATGCAGTTAGCAAAAGTAATGGGAGTTGAAAGTTTGACCTTTTGTGATGGAAATTTGATATGAAAAAAGGGTCTTTTGATAATTTCTCTACCCAATCAGATGTGGGAGATGTCTTGATCCTGTTTCCTCATTTGCATGCTGACTGATCTCATTTGAAAACCCAATCATTCAGAAATATTGGGACGTCAACAGAAATGTTACAAACAAGGAGTTGTTTTATCTGAAAGGTCTGCAGGATGTCATCTCTTGTTTTTCCACTCCAGTGGCCTGATCTCTTCTTCACGATTCCCTGTTTTTATTGGCAGGATAAGTTGAACAGATTGAAATGCAAATAGCCCTTTCCACATCGAACCAAAATATAGGAGTTTTTCCTGTGTGATTGATTATATCCAGGGCACTTCAAAAGAAACAAAGAAAAGACTTTCAGCAGTGCCTCTGATTCCTTGACTTTGGGAAGTTCTGACGTTTCCTCTTAGCAATCAGTGGCACAGAGTGATTCCTGAGCCTGGGCTCACCTCTGCTGCTCCCCCATGCATGACCCACACTGCTGCCTCTCCCTGCTCCTGGGATGTGCCTGAGCTCGCTTTGGCTGCACAAACACACTTTTTTAGTTACTAACAAACACTCTTTTGTCGCTGTCTTGGGTGCTGAATGTCATAAACTCGTTCCAAAATGGATTTTGCCAAATTGCAGAGGTGTTTAATCCAACATTGGTAGAATTCAAAGCCTCCCAAGATCACATGTTGGCTTTCAACCGTGTGTGGAACTGTCCAGATGATTATCTGCCTCATCAGATTTCAGAGCCGAGGCACTGCCCACTTAGGAGAGTTTAGGATCAGCTTTATCTCCCAGACAATTTAACCTTTCTATTTTCTAGAACAGGCAATCCAATTTCCATTTTACTCAACTTCCCAGTGGGTTAATGACAAGTTTTCCCGCTGTGTGACTGGTGTTACTGCCCCTAATTTTGGAGCCTACCTATTAAATTAATTTCTTAAGCCAAAGTTTTCCATTATTTAACCCAGAAGCTTGGCACAAATTATCAATATATGGGAAATATATTTCTCTATATGGGAAATAGGTTTCTCTATATGAGAAATCTTTTTTCTTTAGTAGCCCAAGGTTTGTTTTTTTTTCCCACCTGTTTCTCCACCTGGACAACCTCCCCCTGAGCCTGCTTATCTGAGTACTGTCATGGGAAATGGGATGTTCAGATCCTTCTTTCTGGGGCTGCTTAGGCTTGCTCTGCTTTTTAGAAAAAAGTAAATGTTCACTGACTGTAGATCTCTTGCCTCTCTGGTAAACACCTGCCCTGGCCTGCAGAGACATTCTGCTTTTCTGGTGGAGGGCACTGCACAGGGATTGCTTTCCAAAGCCAAATCCTGGAGGGATAGGGAGAAAAGGGATGAAGCAGATTATAAGCTTTACATAATAGTGTATCTTGAAAGTCATTCAGTTGGTGTTTGTTCAACACTTTGCAATGCAAAGCTCTGAATTAGATGGGGGGGGGGTGTCAGGATTTACCACGGTGTCCCTCAGGTGGGTGACAATACACCTTGTTAGGGACCCTTGGAGGTCTGCAGTGGTCATTGGAAAGAGAATATTCACCCAGCTTGTTGTTTATTCAACAGATTTCAGGGCCTAACCACAAATTAGTGCGTGTGGGGGATGTTTATCTGATGGCACCTGATTTCTTCAGCAATACTTGTACTTCTGCAGGTAGGCTGGGGGTTTCACTGCTGGAAAAACGTGCCTGCTTCGGCTGAGGACAGGAGTAACTTGACTGATAGGCCTCTTCAAATCCAGAGAATCCTTTTCATCAAATCCTGTGGCCTGTCAGCTGTGGGGGAGTGCCTTGGGAAACTGCAGGAATGGCAAATTCCCCCATTCCTTGTGTAATAAACTGAAGTTGTTGGGATGAGCAGCTGGCACGACTCAGCAGCTCTCTGAGTTAGACACGGAGCGTTCTCCCAGATGGGAAATCAGCTCCCTTCATCTCTCACGTATTTTAGAATATCAAACCATGTAAGTTGAAACACCGTGTATTATTCTTGATAGCCACAGCAATCTAGCTCTTCCTTGCTGGATTTTTTAGAATATACTCCCCTCACCACCTTCTCCTTTCCCTTCTCAGTGTTAAAACGAAAAAGCAGCCCGTTGGACCAATATTTTCTCCCTGCTGAAGTCAGCATAGAACAGCAGTGTCCAGAAAGTTGTAAAACAAAAGACTATCATATGTTGCACCTTTTAATCATGTAATTGCTGAGTGACATTTAACTCTGAGGCTTTAAGTTACTCCTTTGTCAGCCAGCCTTCTCCTTCTGCCCCGCTCGTCCCTCCCTCCTCCCAGAGCAACCTGCTTTTGCAGGGGAGTGCTTTAACTACACTGAAGTTTGGCTGGGCTTCTACATATTACAGCAGCAACACGAAAGCAAACAATTGAAGTATTTGAGAACAATGAAATATGTATGGCTATCTGTGACAGCCCTATAAAGCAGAGCAATTAGCCACGTAATCCGAGAAAGCCAAAGCCACCGGCAGCCCACGGTTCCCTATTAGTTAAATGCTTTTTGTACGTCCTCATCCCATCAAATCAACTAACACTTCCTTTAATTGGTTCATGAATTATACAGCCCGGCTGCATTATAATTTAATCACCAGTAAACATTCCTGGGGCCTGCTGTAAAGTGTATAGCGCTCATTAATTCCTTAATTTCAGCAGATGGAAGGGGAGATCGGATGAACGGTGGCAGTACAGAGCGCCTTGGGCAATGGAAGAAGGAAAAAAAGGTGGGGGGCCGTTTAGATTTTTTTTTTAAGGGCTGTCAGAAACTCAATCTGTGAGCTGTCAGCAGCCTGGACCCGCTTTCCCCCCCCCTCCTCCCCCTGCCTTCACCCCACCTACCGCTGCAAGTGACTGACGGATTCATATGGAGCCTTGTCAAGCCGTCTTTAAACATCAAGCCAGCGGGTAAACCAAGCCCAATGTAAATTAATTCTTGTCTTACGGGCCCCCCTTTCTCTGTCCCCATGAATATTTCATGGCGGGCAGCATAAATATTAATTCTAATAGCTCTGCACAGTGGTTATTATTTCTGTTTTATGACAAATATTCATAAAATATTCAGGACCCTTTTTTAGAACATTTACACACTTGATTGTGAAATTTTCCAGCTTCCTGGGGACACAGTAAACATATTGGGGTTCTCTTGATGGACTTTTTTCTCTCTTAATTAATACTACGCCACATTAATATTTAATCAGATTTAGTTTTCCTTTCCCCAGAAGTGAACCCTATTACATTTGAGGATTTATTTGACAGTATTTAAACAGGGAATTTTTATTCCCTATTATGAAATTGGTTTCCTTTGACACATATATAAAATGACACATTATAACCCATCCCTTTATTCCCTCCCCTTGCCCCCAAATCATACTTTTTTTTTGGTGTCAGTTCTTTTATTTATTTTTACATCCCAAATATCTTACTAACAGCAAAAGTTAGTGTTTTTAAATGGTGGGGGTGGGGGTTAAGTATCATTTACTATAAATTTGATTCTCTTTATTTAATAAGGAAGAAAAGTATAGGTTTCCTTGTTAGGAGCAGGAGGTGCCAAAGCGAAGCTGCAGCCGGGTAGCAAAGCCATCATTTCTGAGATGAGTTTGCTGGCTCTTAACCCTGGAGCTCTTGCTCCACTCAGGTTTGCTTTGCAGCATCTAATTATTGCAGGGGAGGGTTGCAGGGATCTGAGGAAACACGGCTGCACTCGGGGAAGGGGGTTCAGGTTCCTGACCTGGGGCCTCTGGGGCTGCAGAGGCTGTCGATTATCTGAGGTGGGGTTGGATTAACCCTGCCCAGGGTGGGAATGGTGCCATCCCCAACACTCCAGAGCGGTGCTGGCTGCCATCTTATTCTGTGATTCAAAAAAGCACCGCTGGAATGAACTCCAGGGAGAATGCAAAGATGCTGGAATAACAGCTGAGAGTAAGGAGGAGGCAAAGAATAAAAATGAGGGGAGAAATGTAAAGCAGTTTTGAATGGAAGTACTAGTGCATCCCAGCCACTTATTACAGATGGGAAGAGTTAATATTGCCTTCTCCAAAAAAAAAGCTTAAAAAATGCATTGAAGCCACTCCTACAAAAACATCTGCTCTGTCTCTGGGTGCCTTTCCCTGTGCTCCTGTGACATTCCCACAGCCCTGAGTTCTGCAGGCCACTGCAAGGGCTCTGCCTGCCCCAAGACCTGGGGTTCCTGCTGGGCTGAATCCCTGTGATGCCCATGGAGCTGCTTTGCTTTATCCCAGCTGGAATCCAGCCCGTTGTTCTGTCAGACAGGCAGCCAGTGCCTGTTCCCACCGTGTGGGCTGGGGTGGAATGTTGCTGGTGGGGTTGGACACGGGAGGGACCCCTCACCTGGGCTGCCTGGGCTGGTGGAGCTCAGCACATGGAACTGGTGGGTGGAAAACATCCAGTGGAGTCATTGCTCTGCACTGCTGGGGAAGGGAAGGGAAGGGAAGGGAAGGGAAGGAACATCTACAGCTACTGAGGATGCTGTTCATCTCTCTCCCCTGGCCAGGAGCCACATCCTGGGAATAGTGCCCCACTTAGCTGCCTTTTGGAGTTATTGGGCAGAAATGCATCCATTTGAAAAGATCCAGTGCCTAGAAATAGCTTGTCGTCCCATGAATCATTATAGGAGCTCGATGAGCAAAACACTTGTGCTGATTAACCTGTGTTTTAGTGCTTAGGCAATGTGTTTTCCCTCCTGGCTGAAACCTAGAGGGTGAAATTACTTCCCAAAATAGACTCCAGCATCTTTCATTAGAAGATATTCCAGCATTTGAAAGAAATCAGTGAATAAAACCTCCCAACAGCTCCTTCCATAAATAAGAGATAAGGATCATTTTATCCATTGCAGAGACAGGCAGAAGGAGTATTTGGGAGAGGGAGGAAACTGAGATTCATGTCCAGTCAGTGGTGCAGCCTCAGAAGAGCCTTTGTAATCTGGTTACCCGTAGGCAAAACAGCTGGCTTAGAGCTGCACTGAGAGAAACCTGAACAAGGCTGGGGAAGAGGCTGATGGGATCTGTGTAACCAGTTTTTAATTTTTAAGAGGGGATTTGGGAATGCAGAATGTCATTATGGAAACAGGATCCTGTGGCTGAGCCAAAGAAGAGGCTTAAGCCAAGGTTTCAGGTTCAAGGTGTCTTTGTGCTCCAGGGAAGGGAACATTCTTGAGGGGAACTGATTGATCCAAGGCAATAGCTCTGGCTGGAAAGTCAGTGAAGACAAGATGGGCTGGGTTGTGGCTGGGATCAGGCACTTGGCTTCAAATCTAAACTTATCTGTAGCTGTCAGCTTGGACCACTAAGTTGATTTGCCGTATTGCTGGGATCATTCAGTGGTGCTACCCAAGGAAAAGACCTTTTTGCAGTGCAAACTGTTTTGGTACCTTGACCAAGCCTGCCATCCCTCTCCTGTCTGGCTGTGGTCCTTGTACCATTCACAAGTTTGTGCAGTTTTATATATTTTGGAAACTTTTAACACCAAAAAACCAAGGTCAGGTTTACCAAGGGGTCTCACAGTTGAGCCAAATCCAGGACAGTTCCTAGAGATGGTTCTTGTCACTCTGCCAGTTCAGTCCATGATGCCCCCCAAGGTTTTCCATGCATTTGTGAATCCATTCCCTCCAACAGCCTCAGCTCTTTCTCAGCTTTGTATTTCAATTACAAAAATTGTAGCCGTTGCATTGCCAGAACCGAGTCCTCCAGGAGAGTTATTTTCCATGGGGAATTGTGCCATGGCATCAGGTGACACTGTTGACATCTCCATATGGAGTAAGGTGTTCTGTGCCTTATGAAAGGCACAAGTTTCTAGCCTTGAATTTGATATTTTTTGCTATTTGTCTGCCTGGAAAAGAAAGTAACTTCGTGTCCCTTCCTCTCTTTCTTCCACTCTCCTGTTCTCTTTTGCTCTGATTTTGCTGGGGTTCTGTCAAAGTTCTGGCACCAAAGTTTGCTGTAACTTTGAGATCACACAAAGCATCTGATCTTCACATTCTTGTTGGTTTGTTGTTTTTTTTGGTTGTTTTTTTTTTTTTTTTTTAAAAGCAGACTGATGTGGTACGTTGTAAACTGCCAGGAGCACTTGCTAATTTAGTAGTTAATGACAGTCACAGAGAGTGTTTTTCTTGCCCCTGGAGAGGTTTTAGACACAGCTGGGGTAGATTTGCCACTATCAATTATGCACAATTTTAAACAAGAATTGGCCAGCAGGGGCCTCTTTTTTTTTTTTCTTTTTTTTTTTTTTTTTTTTTTTTGCAGAGTGCAGAGTGTGAAGAATGGGAATATGGCAGCTGGTACCTGCCTGAGACAGGGAAGACCTACAGGAGTCAAGAAAATATGGGGAAAGATTAACAGCTTACTATTTTCAAAGTTGCAGTTTCAAATCAAAAGTTTAAGTGCTACATTTAAAAGTGGCCCAGTGGTGGTTGGTGTGGTATTTTTATTTTAAGTCCAGCGTCCTAACTTTATTTGCAAGGCTTCATCTGGCCCTGGTGTAGCCACAAGCAAGTCAGTAGTCTCTGTTTTTAAAAACCAGCTGGGGAGTCAGGATCCTGTCTCAGGTATCATGTTGTGTTGTCTTTACATCCTTAAATGAAAACAAGATATGAAATCAATTGGATTTAATGGTATGGGTCTCATTTCACAACAATAGTTTTCTAAAAGGAGGGCTTGGCTTTGGGCTCCACTCCACCAGTGTCCATCCAGAGCTACTCCAGGTGCTGGGAGATGCCAAGGATGAGAAGCTGACCTAAGAAAAATGCTCAGGTCTAGAAGAGTCAACATCTGGATCCATCCAGGTCGGCCTCATAAAACAGCTGTGTTCAAATTACAGGACCTAAAGGGGTGCAAGGCTGTGGCAGAGCCTCAGTTCTCTGGAGATGGGAAAGCAGCTGGATGGAAGGGCAGTGGAGCCATCCTGGAAAGGGACTATCCATAGCAGGAGTGTTCCTTATTCCCCAGCACAGGGATTCCAGGATTCAGGCACACAGCACTTGCTGGTCTCATGGCAACACTCGTAATTTTTCCATGACAGGTACTTTAAGTGGGGACATTATACCCAGAAAACAGGAAAGCCACCACCAAATAAACTCTTCCGAGGACAGCTCTGAGCACTGCCAGTTGTTAATAACTTGGATTAACTGGGTTGGCTGCCATCTGGAACAAATGCAGCTCAGGATTAGTTGAATGCTGTTGTGTAGGTCAAAAAACCCTTCCTTCACTTATTGTGTGGTTGTGACACATTTTTGCAAAAATGCTGCTTCACGGTCAGGTGTGAATTAACCCTTCTACCACCTCTGCCTCACCTTCTCCTCTCTCCCTTTGACAAGGGAAGCCATCAGGATGCCCTGGTGATCTCCAGGATCTTAGAGGATGCTGTCTGAGTAGCCAGAAGCGACTGGAATACCCCTTTGGAATGCCAGATGGCTGATAGGAAAACAACGTTATATTCCAGCTGTTAGAGCTGGAACATATTCCATCGTCATCCAAAGGCAGCCAGCTCTCATTTGACTGGGTACACAGCGAAGGTGTCATCAACATTATTGATTTGCTGGAATTTAATCTCTGGTGTGTCTGGGAGCTGCAAGAGATCAGAGAAGTGATGTCAAGTACAGTGAGGAAGAGGCAGGATTCTGACACTCATTTTGCCTTTTAATATTTGCGTTAATGGTTTTGTTATCAGTGCAACCTGAGAGGGCTGGGAACAAAGGAGAAGGGACAGAGCTGTGCCTGTGAATCCCTCAGCTCCAGCCCTGCATCCAGCAGCCTTGTTGCCACCCAGTGTGAGTCAGGAGCATGTTTGTCCTCAGAGAGCTGGGAGGTTCCACCCGGTTCTACCCCACAGAGCTGGAACTGGAAGCACCAGCCTGTAACTGAGTGCCAGTGATTTTTGGTTGCCCGTGGGTGGATGCTGGGCCTGTGACACAGGAGTGAGGGTTCCTGGAGCACCTCACCTGGTGCTGACTGACACCACTCACCTGCTGGAGCTGAACTAACAGCCCTGGGAGGGGAGCTGTGCTGGATGCTAATCCAGCAGGATGATGTGGTGTACTTTGATACCAGGCTGTGTTTCCTCTCCTCCCTGTCTGCCAGTTCTGATGACATCTGTTTCATATTTCCCCTTGATAGAAGTTGTGACACATTACAACATACAAAGCCTGGCTGATTCCTAAAGTGAGCTTTACAGAGGAGGCATTTATGGGGGAAAAAAAAAATCACACTTGGTGTGTGAAAGGGGGCCAAGCTCTGCTTGGAGATGAAGTCAGTGCTTGCAGGGAGTTGTTCCAGTTACTGCTGGGTCGAGGTCATGGGTGCAACTCTCTGTCTTACGGGGATTTCCACGAGAAATCCAACAAATATCATACCTGGACAGCTGGAGGGTCAGGTTTGTTATGTGATCAGAGTCACAGCAGGCTGAGGGAGGGACAGAGGTGAAATGTTGCTCAGAAATACCTCGAGGAGCTGCAGGAGTTGTATCACACAGCCCAAGCTAAGGCTGCACAGAGTGCACACATGTAAATAGGCTTTACTCATGTGAGTAAACCTCCTGGGGCTGCATAATAGACTGTGTGGGGTATGTGTCTCCTTCAAAATGGTAATAAAGCTTTCTAATTGGAAGTATTTTAAGTCTAGACTGTAGTTCTGTCGGTGGTTTTCCCCTTCATCTTTTTTTTTTCCTGCTTCTGAACGATTTTAAACTGACAGCCCTGGGGAGTGTTGTTTCCTCTTATCTGCAGGAGATGTGTGGAATGGCAGGGTAAGGCATCCCACCTTCCCCTGGAAGGACCCTTGGATTGGGAGTTTGTGCTGTTGAGCAGCATATTCTGTGTGTGTTGTTACAGAGTGGATGTGGGGGGGAAAAAAAGAAATCCATATTAGCAGGGATGTCTGTACCCTCCCACATCTTCCCTGCACTCTTCTTTAATGGTGACACCAGGCTGGATAATAAGCAGCGTCTTGTTTAAAAAGGAAGGGAATCTCAGACAAGGCTTTCAGAGTTCATTTCGTTGGCAGCTTTTTAAGTGGGAGTTTTTTAGGCTCTTCTGTTTCAAATACCATAATACTTTTTTGTGTTAGTAACTATGAATCACGACAAGCTTGCTTGATATGCCAGGTTATAATCCTTTAGTGGGTTTGTTTATTTGAGAATATAATAGGAAGCCGTATCAATTATCATGACTGTATAAATGTTGTTCCTCTCTACTAGAATATTCATCTTGAGACACATCATCAGATGTTACCTGTTCTGACAATCACGTTTTTGTGCCATTGTTGGGCAACAGAAACAAAGAAAAAACAAAATGTTAAGAGTGTAAGGGATAAAAGAGTGTTGAAACTGTTGTTCTTTCCCTGTCTTTGGAATCTCCAAGATCTTGAATGTTTTATTCCTGGCTGTTATTTTGTTACCACAGTGTGAATAGAAGTCATTATCTGTAAACATTTGAAAAGAGAGATGATTTTCATAACTTTAAATCCTACAAAGGATTCTCGTAATCTGCTACGTGCACGCCGAGGTAAAGCTCAGCCTTTCATCTGGTCTGATCCCACCCAGTCAGTGTAAAATGTTCCTTTGGTGAATGTCTAAAGCACGCAGTATCTCCTGTGAGAGGCAGACAAAAATGAAAACAGGAAGCCTGGCCTTGAAGGCAGCAGCAGGAGAAGGTGGATTATAAAGGGAGATGTGTTTGCAGCCTTCAGGTCG